GTGTTTAATAAGCAATATTTGTATGTCTCTTTTATATAGACTTTAAAAGATTTATTACATAGCGTATTTATTGCATAACAAGGTCAATTCATTTGAAATTTTAATTTGTTCATTCTGAAGTTATGTAAGTCGTAAGAAGAAGAAGTTACATAAGTCATTAAGAAGAACTTTTTTCTACTTCTACTCTTACTTTTCAAATCAAGTTTTTTGGCGCGAATATTAAAATGTTATTATGTTTTAAAAGCTTTTATTTGTTTTATTATTTAAAATAATTTTAGTACAATTTTACTGTCATTTGAAATGAAAAAGTTTGAAGTTCATATAGTTTAATCACTTTCAAAATTAAACATAAGCAGAGGAGAAACTCTAATTAATGTATTTTTAAAATGTTATTAAAAATAATAAGCGTTTCATACTTTAATCCAATCAAAACGGGCGTTTCACATTTTAATCTAATTACAACATATTCTATATATCATCAACGTGAATTAAGCATTCTTGTTGGCTTAAATTACATTTATAATGTATTTTAAAAGTCGTTTTTCAAAAGTTAGATTTTCTATGCGACATTAATATCATAACAAATGCTAATATAAAATTTGTTTTGAACTGTATGGGCTGAAATTTGGGAGCCCATACCGGTATCAAAATTGGCCTGGATACGTCGCTGTATATATATATATATATATATATATATATATATATATATATATATATATATATATATATATATATATATATATATATATATATATATATATATATATATATATATATATATATATATACACACACTTTTTATTCTGATTCACTCCTAACAAGACTGCAAGAAACCACTATTAAGTTAAGAGTTAAAAGGAAAAAAAAGAATAGTTATAAAGCAAGGAAACGGTTGACAGTAGTAAGTGACCGGGTTTGATATTTGGCCAGGGCCAGGTTTGATAAAATATAGCTGGGGCCAGGGCCAGGGTTGTGACCGGGGCTGCATAAACATTTATGCAACCTAAAGTATATTTTTTTTATTCAAAATTCATGTTATATTTTGTATATACATGCATATATAAATATCATTATGATCAACATGATTATCATAATCATTATTATCATCATAATTATCATCATGATCATTATCATCATCATCAACAGCATAAAAGAGGAAGATCATGATCATGATGATAATTATGATGATAATAATGATTATGATAATCATGTTGATCATAATGATATTTATAAATGCGTATATATACAAAATAAAACATGAATTTTTAATAAAAAAAATATACTTTAGGATGCATGTTTTTTTTCATAAATGTTTTTTTTTCTTAACTAAAGCTCATTTATATAATATGTAAGGCACTTTCTTTAAGTTCTTACTTCTACAGTTACCATTTTCTACTGAAGCTGTTGCTTCTCTACATGCTGATACATAAATTACTTTATTCTTTTCTAACAAGTATTGTTTGATACAATGTTTTTTCTAATCTGTCTAAGATTATGTCTCCTTTTCTTGTCTTGCTAGAGTCACACCACACATTTATCTGATCATCTTCTCGTTCGACAAATACTACACCATATAAATACTGAAGTTTATATAACAATGAAAGAATATTGTATGCTAGCATCTAAATAGCTAACATGTTTTATGTTTATATCCATAGTATGTATACATAAAGTGCATCTTAAAAGCTTTTATTCTTTCTGGAATAAAAGTTTGGAAGCTTTTATTACTTCTCTTCAATTTTAAGTCAAGCCCCATTCTACTCCACATTTTTCACTATCTTGAGCAGTTGCTTTATTAAACATTGTTTTTATCTTTTTTACAAGAACATCTCTAATATCTTTTTATTATTGCAAGAAGTTTAAAAAAAATCCTGTCTGATGTTAAGCTCTGTTATTCTCAGTTTACTAAATCTTGTATCTATCTCAGATGTTAGGTTCTAAAGACTTTTAGTTATTGTTCAACAGCCTCATTAACAAAAGTAAGTCTAACATTTAAGTTCTAATTCATGGGTCTGATCTTTTTTTACTAGGGTTAAAATGGTAGGAAAAAAAATGTATAAATAAAAGTTTTAGATTCATACGGATACAGTAAATCAATGAGATTTAGATGATTGCACCCACTCAGATAGAGTGGGTCCAACTACATTTACAATGCATTTTTGGATTTTGTTGAAAAAGAGCATCATTAGAAGAACCAACTCAAATATGAGAAGTATTCCATACAGGGACAAGTAAGATTTGTAAAGATAGAGAATGAAATCAGAAGTAAGAAAATGGTAAGCACGCTAAAAAAGAAGCAACCTTAGCAGACTTTTTTTTCAATTTATTGTATGTATGATTTTCATGAAAGGTCAGTAGTAAAGCATAATCTAAGAAGACGTAAAGAAGAGGACTCGTTGAGAGGGTTGCCATTCATTAAGATTGGAATGTGGATAGTATTGAGATAGTTGTTTGCAGTAAATAACTGAGTCAGAGTTAAATTTCACTGTAAGCCCCAATCTGTTACAGAGGTGAGATCAGATTCAAGATCAGGTACCTGTTCTAAGCGATTAAAAGAAAGAAGACTTTTTGTCATGACAGAAATATAAAGTTGAGTTATCAGCAAAACGAGCTACGTTAGATATAAGGTTGTCTGGAAGATCATTAATGTAGATGAAAAACAAAACAGGACCAAGGATAGAGTCTGAGGTACCCTAGAAGTTACTGGAAATAAAGAATAATGTTGGCCTTCAAGGATGACTTTAATAAAGCAGTTAGAAATAAAAGACTTGATAATCTCAAAAACTTTACCATATACACCTATGAAGCAAGTTTACGGAGAAGACTGTAGATATATGTATATATATACATATATATACACATATATAGATAGATATAGTTATTATTATGCATGTATTAAGGTGTCTTTAATTCTCCTTTAGATTAAAAATCAGAACTCAGTTTTTTTTCATGTACTGTGGTTATCTTTTGTGATTAACTTAAGTTTGATTAATGTTTAATTGTCCGGTATTTAGTTCATGTTAAGCTCATTTTCTATTTACAGGTTCCAAATATTGTTTTTGAAAAGTTTCTCTAAAAATTAATCAACTTAGTACTTAAATTAAGGGAAATTTTATATTAATTCAAAAAAAAAAAAGATAAAAAAACTTATAGAAATTCATGTTTTTTATTATTGATATAAAAACTTTAGTTTTTCTGCAATTGAATCTAAGAAATGATTAACACAAAAGATAACCACATTAAAAACACTAAATTGTGATAAAATATTCAAGTGATTTTTTATTTTTATTCTTTTGCTAATCAATTATGATTAAGCTCTCAATAAAGGAAGCAGGAATAAAACCTTAGTTGCCCAATAACTTAGTTGCCCTTAATTAAATTAGCAAAATGGAAAAAGTTAAATTTTTCTTTTGCCATAAGATTATGTCTAAAAATTGAACTTGAATAACAAAGCATGTTAAAAAATTTCGCAAGTGTCCTGATACAGTACTATATGAAAATGTCTAGATAAATGAATCATATAATTAGAAAAAAAATGCAGATAAAAAAATCAATTATGAATAATTAATCTACAAATCATCAAGTGAAGATGGTCTGGGAAACTCAGTAAATTAAAATAATCTAAATTTTTAAATTTTCCTCTAAGTTAACTTCAGTATAGGGTTTCTTTAATTAAGGCCTACTAACGATATATATTTTTTTGACAAATATAACAAACAAACAATAAAGACTAAATTACTGCAAACTATAAAAATGCTCAAAAAAATAAATAATCTTTATAGATTACTCATTTCTTTGAGTATTTGAAATCTGATTTTACATTGGCATGGTATTATTTACTAATATTTCTACTAACATTATCAAAACTAAGATGGTAACTTTTTATAGGATAAGAATGGTTTCTATATATATTGAGAGTATCACAGTTGTTAGGAAGTACAACATGACAAATAAACTTTCTCATTCAGTATGCATAAATTTTAAAATCAGTATGCATAAATAGTTTTTTAGAATTAAAAATTAAATTAGCTATAAGTTGATTGTATAACTAGGCAAAAAAAAACTTAAGATAAGCAACAAAAGAAACAAAAAACACCACAAAAAAAAACTCGTTTTTTTTTTTTTTTTTTTTTGCAACTCTAAGCAACTCGAACAAAGGCAATTCTTTTCTTTGCTTTTTCAAGCCAAAATACCTTTGTCAAAGTAAAACTTAGCCTGCTAACTTTAGTTAAACTAAAAAGTTATTAGATTATTTTCATTTTTTTTTTGTCTTAACACTAATATAATTTTTTAAGGTTAGGTGGAGCTTGTAAAGATGTTTATCACAATTGTGATATTCTCAAAGTAATAGTATCTAAAAAAAAAAAAAAAAAAAAAAAAAATATATATATATATATATATATATATATATATGTATGTATATATATACTCAGTCCTTATATACAATGAATGAATTAACAACTAAGGTAAACATTACATTGAAAATTATTGTAAAAAGTTGCTTTAACTATTTCATAGTATTAGAATATTAAACTTGTGAAATGCATTTAAGTGTGGAACTCAACCATTCAAGTGTGAAACTATAGACATTCAAGTTATAAAAAAAGTGTCTTGGGCAGGTGATGGTATTCGAATTTAAGTTTCTAGTTAAACAAAAATAACACCAGAATAAGCATATAGTTGAGAAAAAATACTTCATATCTTTTATGCTGTTATATATAAATATAAAAATGGCATTATAGATAAATGTCACAACCACATAAGTATAGAACTACTCTTTAACAAACAGTTTAAAACTGAGTCTGTAGAAATAGCTCAAAGCTGCAAATCAAATATTATTCTAAATCATCTTAAGTCAACTAAAATTGTCAAAAAGAATTTTTAGGATTGCATTCTTTGTTGAAAAAAAAATTATTAGAAACTGTTATATTTTTGGTAAATTACAAAATTTTAAATAAATATTTGTCTTAGATATATTTGTTCTGTATATTTATCATTAGGAGATTATGCATTTTAAAAGGGATTTATCCTCGTGAACCAAGAAATCGTAAGAAAGTTGGCAAAGGAAGTACTGCTTACAAAACATATTACTACGTCAAAGATATACAATTTCTAGCACACGAGCCTGTGCTAAATAAGTTCAGAGAGTTTAAAGTTTTTGTTAGAAAATTAAAACGTGCCATTGGTCGACAAGAATTTAGTGATGCTGATCACTTAGAAGAAAATAAACCAACATATACACTTGATCACATTGTTAAAGAAAGGTCAAATACTTTAATTACTTTTATTTTATAAAAGTTTTTTCAAGCAAAAAAAGCTAAAGAAAAACTTTAAAAATTAAAAAGAAAACTTATTGTTTCAGTTTTATTTAGATATCCAACTTTTATAGATGCGCTGAGAGATTTGGATGGTGCTCTTTCTATGATATTTTTGTTTGCTAGGTTACCTCAAACTGATAAAATTGAGGTATAAATATTATTTTTACTATTAATATTAGTTCATATAAATCTAAAAAATTGTTGTTTGTTATTGTTATTAATATTTAAGTTGTCATGATATTTTTATAATTGTTAGTATATTTTTATAACTTTTTAGTTTTTTTTGCTAATTTATGATTGATTAAATTAAACAAAATTAGTGAAAAATTTGATTTTGAATAATGAAAATTAAATCCGAAATTGGTTGCTTGATTTTTCAATTTTGTATATACAGCAGATGCTCAGATTGTCAGTTATGAACACTTGTATGAAATACAAGTTATTTAAAATTTACATTCATACAATTGACTATTATTGATTTATTTCCATATAACCACACAGCCGAAAAATATGCACTACATACGCATCATACAGTTTGGCAAAGATGCGTAAAAGCTAACCTTGGGTTTACAATTTTTAAAAACAATAATAAAACAAAAAAATAACTTATGTAAAAAAACAAAACAAAAAAAAAAAACAACCTTCATCAAGTTCAGATTTCAAGTGTTATGATAGACATGTAAATAACATAATTCAGTATCAGTATGCACGACAGAGAAGTGAATTTAGTTAAATGAGAACAATCTTTTTTTTTTATTTAAAAAAAAATGTTGTCATTAACAAGTAGGTAATTTATTCAAAAGTTGAAAAAAACTTTATTATTTTATTGATATCACTCTCTAGTAAAGTCTTTGTATCTTATTATTCTATTTTATTTTTTTGCATTCTATTTCTAAAGAATATTCTGTTGTTGCTTAGCACTTCTCAAATCTAGTGTGCTGAGACCAAAACTACTTAAACTACCTAAAATTAATTAAAATAATTATTTATAAATAAATTTAAACTGATGATTTTTTTCGTTACAGATGGATGTCGTTAAAAAGTGCAAACGTTTAAGTGGTAAGGTATTTTTTTATTTTAAAATTTTTTTCACTAACACTTACAACTATAAAAACTTTTTATCTTTCTTCTAATTGGATGGCGTTTTTATTTTTATGGTGATAGTTGGTATTTTTCAAAAACCTTCTTTAAAGGGCCACTTAATATGTGGGCAATTCCATTTTTACTTACAATACATGCGCAACAACTTTATCAAATATTTGCCTATTTAAACTGTAAATTAAACTTTTAGGTATTTTGTATGAAAGATGTTATCTAAAAAATAAAATAGGCTAAAAGGTTTTGAGTCTGGCCAAAATAGGGCAAACTTATTACTGAAAATGCCAATTAACACGGAAAACAAGGTAAAAAAATTGCTTTAGCATAAAATTCAGATTTCTGCAAATTAGCAAAGCGATTTGTATTAGAAACTTTCACAAGATGTTGAGAATTCTATACCAATATAAAAAAATGTATAAAAATTTATCAGAGGTAACTGGCTAAGGAAAATAAACATGTTTTTTTGATCAATGTATTTAACTAACGTTACTGAGTGATTATTATTGTTGATTTTTTATATCTATTATTAAGAGTTAGAGTTATATAACAATTGTATTAAACTCATTCATTAAAAATATTTAACAAAGGAAATTTTAAAAAACTGGTGGCACTTTTTCTGAATGATTTTTTAAACATTTATGTAAGTTATCAAATTGAAAACAATTTTTGTGCAAGACCAAGAGCAACTTTAAATATTTATTTTAGTATTACAACTTTATTAATACTTATTTGAATCATTATAATAATGAAATAAGAATTACTTAATTATGTAATTCATTTTACAAACGAAAAAGCGCATGTAGTTTTAACTTAGGTTACACAAATGAAAATGTGCTTTAACTAAGTGTTATTATTCAAAACTTTAAATGTAAAAATATAACAATATTCTTTTGCATATATTATTAAAAAACTTAAGTTTTAAAATAAATTTTAGAAAAAATAAAACTTTACCATGTTTTTGTTAACTTACATTATATGAAAATTGCAAAAGTTCTTTTGTTATTTTCTTGAAATATATATTCAAGAAAATAACAAAAGAACTTTTGCAATTTCCTTTTGCAATATAATTTGAACATGTTAGTTTCATTTTCACGCTAAATTAATTCCAATTATGCAAATAAATTCATGGTTAAAATAGAATTTTACACTGATACTTTTTTTTGTCATGCCACAATAATAAAAACTGTCACTTTCCAAATCTCAAAAGAAAAAACTGCATTCTCCAAATCTCCAAGAAGTCTATATTCACAATTTATGGAAAAAATCTGACAAACCAATATTCGAAAAAAAAGATAGTTATCTTCAATTATCAAATTACAGACTGTTATTGTTAACATTCATTAGTTATAAAAAATTTATTATACAATCATAGTTTAGTTTGTTTTATATATGAATTTTTTCCCATTGCTGTTATTAACTCCTCGTCTCTGTCTGTGAGTATCAAATTTTGCAATCAATTTTTGAGTCACTTTCTGATGATAGATTTTCTTCATGTTATGCATACATACACTTGCTTGATGACAATGCAATATTTAATAATAAGTTTTGCAATATGTCAGTTTAGTTAATTTTAATTTCTATGGAAAGAAGAAGAATAATTTTTAAAATAAATTTATTATTTGTTTTCTATTCATATGCACGTTTAGCCTATTTAAATAAGGCGTTGACATTGTCTATGGAATGTCTATGGTTTGAGACCCGCCTCTTTCTAAATTATTTTTATTTTTTTACAGCCAAATGTTAATAAAGTAAAATATTGATATAAAAAAAAAGATATTTTCTAAGCGTAAAGCACTAAGTTTCCTTTTTGAGAATAAAATATTTTTTTTTTAGTTTAATTTTTAGTTATTCAATATAGAGCTTCTCCAGTTAAGGTTGCAGTGTTTTTAATACTATAAAAACAACAATAACAGCATTTTATAAATATATATAAATGCTCTATATATTCAACTTCAGAATTGTTAAAAAAGTCGGCAATAAATTTGCAAACATAAACTATTTTTGTCGGCATAAGGCCGACTAAAAAGATTTTAGAATATATTAACATATTGATAATTTGTATAAACGAAATTTTTTTTATTGTTTTAATTGTTACTATTGTTTTAAATTTTAGTTGAATTTCAACATTACATTATTTCGTCAAGATCACTTAGAAAGGTTGTTGTTATATATTTGTTAAATTTTTATATATTTGATATTAGGTTATTATAATTTTATATATTTGATATTAGGTTGTTATATTATTATTATTTGATATTATATTTATTATAAAAATACCTTTGTATAGTATGTGTATTATGTAAATAAATTTATATTAGAGGTATCTTTGAAAAACAGTAAGAAACACTAGAAATAAGAAAATGTTTATTACATTAAATACCACAACTTAAAAGATAAAAACATGTGCCATTAATTGCACATGGTTTATTTATATAGTGATTTTTGATTTAATATATATATATATATATATATATATATATATATATATATATATATATATATATATATATATATATATATATATATATATATATATATATATATATATATATATATATATATATATAAACATTTGCAAAGTTCAGTAAAAATCAATCAACTATAATATTTACAAAACTACTGCCACTAGCAAGATTTGATCTTAATACAATGTGTAAAATCTTTTGGTAATTCTTTTCAGTGTACTAATAATGCTATATTGTTTTAGATTTGTTGTTATAAGAAAATTCTTTAAACACTGTAATGTTTTCTTACAATACTGCTTTGTCATTTCTTCTAAAGCTTCCTTCAAAGTCTTTCGAAAAACTTCATAAAAAGTGGATCCTTCTAGGAACTACTTTTCAGTTTTATCAATGTTGTAACTCTGTATTAAGAGTAATTGTTTGCATATGGTTATATCAAGTTATATCAAGCAAAAACAATGGAATTATTATGCAACATGTCAAAACATTAAAATAATTTCAGAAAGTCATTTAGTTTTCAGCTTAATGCAGCTTACCTACCTCTAATGCTTTGAACATTGATACCTCTATTTAATCTATTAAATTAATTCAAGATATTACTGTATCTGGGAATTTTTTTTATCGCTGTTCTTTATAGCTGGCAAATCTAATTTTTGTGCTTAGTTACTTTGCAGTTGTTTTGTAATTTTTACTGTGACTGTTTCAAATGCTCTAAAAATTCTTATTCGTCTAGTTTTTTTTCTTGAACATCATTTCTTTGTAATTTGCTCCTTTCAACTTGTTTTTCAAGCCTTCTATTCCAGTCTTTTCCGTTTAAAATTCAATGCCAGCGCACAAAAAAGTGCTGACAGTATGGCCTTTTTTAAGTTAGCCTGCACGATTTAAAAAATTAATTTTTTCCTGCTGTTTAAATTTAAAAAAATAGCAAAAAGAATGCTTTGAATAAATACTAGATAAAATATTTAAAAAAAAAGTTAAAAAAGTATTTTTCATAAAAATGAACAAATAAACAAAAAAAGTTTTTGTTGCAATTTAATACAAATAATTTTATTTTTTTGGCAAGCGCTTTTTTATGCTCTCACAACAGTTTCGTGGGCATGTGGGCAAGTGCAAAAAAACTTTAGTGCAAAAGTGTTGGCTAAACAGAGAAGACTGTGGTTCATATAATTTTCAATCTTTTAAGTTGTTTGTCAAATGTTATCTTGCTCTATTTTAAAAATTGATTTTTTAAACTTCATCTTTTTCTTTCAGTAACTTCCAACTCTAATTGTTTAAAAATGTTTATTTATCTTTTGATTTAAAAAACATTTTTAAAATCAAAGTTATATAATATATAAAAATGTAAAGATTTTTTATAAATTACTAATATTACAAAAAATGATTTTTGCAATTTTTTGTTTCATACAATAAAAATGAAATTTATGAGTTTTTAAAACTAATTTTCAAAATATCTTCCAGAAGTTGTATAGCTTATATTATAAAATTAGAAATATATTTTATTAAGGTATTTATATCTATCAAAGGAATTTACTTTCAAGCAGAAATTCAACGACAAACTGTAACATGGGTTACACCACACAGCTTTACACAAGAGGTTTTATCAATTTTTTAAATATTGTTCAATATTATAGTTTTATAAAGTTGCTTTTAAATAAAAAGGTTTATAAAAAATTATTATTTTTTAATCTTTTAATCAAACCTTTTAAGAGTTCCTAAAATATTATTTAAAATTATTTTTGGTTTTTTATTTATTTTTTAATAGTTGCTTACAAATATTTTTTTAGCTTCCTGATGATGTTGATTTCCGTATTATGCTTACTTTCATTGAGTTTTATACAACGATGTTAGGCTTTGTAAATTTTCAACTATATCATACACTAAACCTCCAATATCCTCCTCAGGTTTATTTAGTTTTTTGTATATTATTGTTTTTATATATACATAAAAGATATCAGGCCTTGGAATGCAAAGAAAAGCTCTCCTAAAATGAACATTGCAAGTCATGCAAGCTACTCCCCTAAACACCTTGTTACGAGAACTTTCTGTTTTTGCATGAGCTGTCTGTTCATTAAATTAATTGCTTATCAAATGCAAAATTTGATTTTATACTTATTACAAGCATATGCTTGTAACATCAATGTTAAAAAAATATATTATGTCATACATAATGATACAGAATACAATGAGCTTCATTTATTGCGCTGTGAAAAAATTATTTAGACAAGCATTTTCTTTGGGTTTTCATACTAGTTAATCATTTATTTATTAACAAATTTACTTTTGGATAAAAAGTTTGATATTTTTTATTTAATAATAGGGCTTATTTTAAAGGTTGGACATCGGACATTGTCCAGCTAAAATCTTAAATTGTCCAATCAATTTACAAATTAATCGGACATTTTGACCAACAGGATTTAAATTCTACAAAATAAAGCTCAGACAAGAAAGGCGTGCGATCGATTGCTATTGCTGACCACACAAATGATTTTTATTTATTAACAACTTGACCACGACTGCATAGATGTTTTGATGATTTAAATGTTTCAGAAATGCGCTAAAAAAAGAAACATTAAGCTAATCTTAAACCAGAAAAAAAAATTAAAAATGTAAAGATTAACCAAAACAATTCCTAACAAAAAAGGAAACAAATTAGCTTTAAAATAAAACATAAAAACTCGAAGTTAAAATTACTTTTCTTACATTTTTAATTGCATTTGAAAAAAAATAACTCTAAAACTTTTTAAACCAAAACTCTTAAAACTCTTTTAAAACATTTAAATAAAGTTACGCAAAACACTTTTATAGTTTTCTTTAATTGATTGATAATAATGATAAATAAATAAACAAATTTATTTAATTATTGAAAAAGTGAAATTAAATTGAGTCATTCCATATCAACTCAACCAGCATTTTGACAACTATTCACCACACCATCTCAGATCTTTCTGAAATTTTTTGGGCTTGTAGTACATACAATTTAAGCAATTGCTGAAGTTTTTGAGCCATTTTGTCAAAAACTTTCTGAGATATGATTTTTTAAAGTTTTAAGGGTTGTCGCGAGTTCACGTGACTTACATTTTTGCGATATTTGAACGTGAATATTTCAAAAACTAAAACAGGTATCAGGCTGAAATTGTCCAAACATTGCACTTTTCACAGTTTTCACCAATATTTGACCCGATATAGCCAAGAACCTATAAAACATGCAATGATTTTTGTTATACCATTATTAAGTACCATATATGTGTTTATTATTATCATAGAAAATTCATGTTAATCAATAATAGTGTACTAATTATGCAACATGGTCATCAATTTTTGTGCACATTGCGACCCCTAGATGACCATGTTGACAGTAATTCACACATTTCATATTTTGAACACATTAACCTCAGTAAGTACTAGCTATGGTGAAAATTTCATGTTGGTGTCTTAAGCCTTTCCTACTTAATCAATTGCTAATTAAAACCATATTTCATTAATTTTTTTTTTTAAATATTTTTTGTATATTAAAGTGTATTGTGGTTAATCATCAAAGCAATGAACTGTCAATTAAATTTTTTGAAAAAATAGTTATTTTAAGTTACAAAATCAAATTATAGACTGTTTTTATCGTTTGGAATATGAAATTCTACTTCAAACAGGCATTGCATGAAGCTTAAATGGTGTGCAGCCAATGTTTGTTATACTGTCATTTAGTTGAGAAAGATGCAAGTCAACATCTTCCATATCGGTATCTTTAACTGAATGTTCATAACTCAGTTCAGGTTCCTGGGATGTATTGTACTTTCGACAACTTGGGCATAGCTTCTCACCAGGTTTGAAGTGTCTCCCAGTTGTTAGTGTTAGTTCCGTGGCTTTCTCAATACTGACTGCCCTCAGTGACTTTGTGACTTTGCATTGATGTTTATTGAATGGATAGCAACAACTCTGTTGCAATTTATCAAATTTTTCAAGTAGAACCTGTTCATGGTAGAAGCATTTATTGTAGTTCTCTCTTTTTAGTTTTTTTTTTTTTTTTTTTTTTTTTAATTTTACTTCACCTCCTCAAGGCCGAGAAGGCCACTACAGATGAGGAGGCTACTTATTTTATGGCTATAACCCTCTCTCAACTCTATAACTCCGAAACACGAACCTTGACGAACAAGGCCGCTGCGCGGAGAAACGAGTTGAGCGCGGTACTACCAGGGACGTGGTGGGGATCGAACTCGGAACCACTCGTTTATGAAGCGAGCGCTCTACCACTACACCACTACCGCATTATTTTGATCAACAGATTTGGTTTTTAACGTCAATAATTCTCTCTACCACTACACCACTACCGCATTAGTTGACCAACAGATTTGGTTTTTAACGTCAATAATTCAAAATTAGCATCGGATAATTCTGACAGGTTATGCAAGCCGACACTGCATGTATGAACTGTCTTGTGGCATTCATCTGGAAGCAACAGTCCAAATGTGCACAATGGCAGTTCAACCATATTCAGTAAATATTAAATCTATATCAAATATAAAAAAAATGTGATTACATATTTTTATAAAAACATTTCATACTAATTCAACAAAAAAAAAAATTTACATGCTTCTTCCTCATAATTCAATAAAACTTTTAGTATATGTTTATAAATGTTTTCTATTAAAAAAATGTATTACCTAAAAAAAATTAATACCTAAAAAAAATAGAATAAAAAAAAAAGAAAATTAATAGTTGTATATTATATAAATAGTATAAATATTTGTATATATATACAAATAGTTGTATATTATATAAATATACAAATAGTTGTATATATATAAAATACCTAAATAAAATATTAAACCAAAAATTCATTTGAAAATATTCAATTTCTTGCAGATATTTCACCAAGAAGGAGGCAAGACACCAACATGAAATTTTCACCATAGCTAGTACTTACTAAGGTTAATAAGTGTGCAAAATATGAAATGTGTGAATTACTGTCAACATAGTCATCTGGGGGTCACAATGCGCAAAAAAATTTATGATCGTGATGCATAATGGTGCCTACAATGGGTACACTATTATTGATTAACATGAATTTTCTATGATAATAATAAACACATATATGGTACTTAATAATGGTATAACAAAAATCATTGCATGTTTTATAGGTTCTTAGCTATATTGGGTCAAATATTGGTGAAAACTGTCTAAAGTGCAATGTTTGGACATTTTTAGGGGATATTGTATGCAAGCTACATTTGATATAAAAAAATCATTTAACTCAGCATGAAAAAATGAGTAAATGTTGAAAATTTCAACCTGATACCTGTTTAAGTTTTTGAAATATTCACGTTCAAATATTGCGAAAATGTAAGTCACGTGAACTTGCGACAACCCTTAAAACTTTAAAAAATCATATCTCAGAAAGTTTTTGACCAAATGGCCTAAAAAGTTTCAGCAATTGCTTAACTTTGTATGTACTACAAGCCCTAAAAATTTCAGGAAGATCTGAGATGGTGTGGTGAACATCACTGGTTGAGTTGACATGGAATAACCTAATTATCAAAAATAAAAAAAATAAAATAGTTTTTGGTTGTATAAACATTTTTTTTCAAAAAGTTGCAAAAAAATATTGTTTAAAAAAAGTAACGTAGTCTTTCTAAAATTGTAATTTTTAATCATTTCATGCTTCAATTAGTAAGTCAAAATAAAAAAACTTTTACGCAAATCATTGTAAAAATAAAAACAAAACAAAACAAAAAATAATAAAGCAACTAAATCGTTGGAAGATTTCATTTAACTTTCAACTTATTCATAATTAAAAGTAACTTTAAAACTAATCTTTTAAAAGATCTTAAAAAAGACAATAAAAATAGTTTCAACTGTTTAAATTTTTTCATAATAAATGCATATCTGTTAAAAAAATTATGTATAACATTTAATTTCCACATAATGTGTTTATTTTAAATGATCATTTTAATGAATTTTTATTTTATTTAAAGCCTTCACGTGCAATAAAAACCTGACTTAAAAAAAAAAGATTAATGGTTAAAAGTTATTCATAACGTAACAATTTTTTTATTGGATTTAAATTGTTAAAACATCAAAACTGCTTTTGTCAAATTGTAAAGAAAAAAAAAGGTGTCGCCAGTTACAGCGTGAAAGTTTAAATCTATCTAAAAAAACATACAATATTAATTTAAAACTATTTTATTAAAAAAACAAAAATGATGTGATGAAATACTCTAAATAATAAGGAAAGAACTACAACTTCACTTGATTAACATTAGTTAAACTCACTAGCATGACAAAAATTTTGTTAGCAGAAACTCAGTTTCGGAAAACCGAAAAAATTATATTTTAAAAATTTGATTGAACACTGTCCGACCCAAATAAGTTTTGATCAGACATTTTGTCCTTAACTTTAAAAAAAATTAAATTGAGCCCTGTAATAAGTAAATTTATATTTTTTTACTGTAATAGAAAGCAGAAAGTTTAAGAATTTTTAAAGAATGTTTAAGAACACTTTTATTGTGGAAAGTTTAAGAACACTTTTATTGTGGAAAGTTTAAGAGCACTTTTATTATGGAATCTGAATTTTTTACCTAAATTACATATTCCACAATAAAAATGTTCATTTAGATTTTTTTTTTTTTTTTTTTATTAGAAATTATTTAATTGTTAATTTTTTTTTTGTTTTGTTTTGCTCAAGTTAAGTAATTTTAGAAATGTTTAATATTATAAACTATATTTTAAATAATAGTTTCAATCGGAAGATATAGCATTAACTAAGAAAAAGATTTATGACAGAATTAATCCCATGATTTCATCAATTAATCAAAGATTTATGACAGAAACTAATATCAGTAAATTTTTTATAATAGTATTTTAGTGAAAAACTGATTTTTTATTTAAGTAACCAATCAGTTAGTCCAATCTCATTAATGACATTTGCATTTCAATTAGCGTTCTTTTTTTTTTTTTTTTTTTTTTTGCAACACCCATTTGCCTTTAAAACAGCATTGCAGTTTATTTTTAATTTGACCATATGGTCATTAATGCTATAGTGATATAACACGATATTTTACACCAAGGAATTTAGGAAAAAAATCCTTCTGCACTGCATATCTGTATTTAAAAAAATATGCTTTTGTAAGAGCCGTAAATGTATGCTCCTGTAAACCATTTAGGGGAGTGTGGAACCATGTAGGAGAGTGGGAGGGCAAGAGCTAAAGCTTTTGTTTCCCACCAAGGCCTGAGATTTGTAATATTATATATTTATATTATTATTATTTTTTTACAGCTAAAAGTAAATAACAATGAAGGAGGAACGACTGAGTTTTGCCAAGATATTGAACTATATGATGAGGTATATAGTCACAATAAAGATCACCATGTAAACCACCATGGTGATCAGTTGTTTAAATAAATCCCTATGTATTATCTTTTAACTATTTATCTTCAGTGACTTATTTTTTGAAAAATATATTTATATAAAAAGTTTAATCTTAATACGATTTTTCAATTCATTTTTTTTATTAAACAAACATGTTTTTTTTATAGATTGAGTTTTTAGTTTTTTTCATCATGTTTTTTATTATTTATATTATCATGTTTTTAAATTACAGATTAAATTAAGGTTAAATTTGTTATTTAAAATTAGTTATAAAAGCTTTTTTTATTGTTATAGAGTACATTTTTTTTAGTACTAATAACATTTAAATTGAAGGGCTGTCAAAAATTTTAAGATTTAACTGGAATGAAAATTAAAATCATATGTGTACCCCAAATTGAACTAAAAGTTGCAGTAGTGGTGTAGTGGTAGAGCGCTCGCCTAATAAGCAAAAAGGGTATGTAAGAATAATGTTGTAAAATTTTGATTGTTGCAAATTTGATTGTCGAAAATGTGAAAAAGGAATAGTGTTGCAAATTGTTGTATTATTGATTGTCGAATAACAGAATAAGGAATAATGTTTCAAAGGAGTTGAATTAATAGTAACAAAATAATAAAATAATAACTATAAAAGTGTGTTTAGATAACATGTCTGATGTCATACTGAAAAAGCATGCAGATGGAGGCTTCAGTACATACACCAACTATCTTATAGCCTGCTGCCGCAAAGCAGTGCCACTACATCGACTGAGTGTTAAGGGCTTGGTTGCAATCTTTTCTTTCATTATTCTTTTTTTTTTGTTTTTTTTTGTTTTTGTTTTTCTCTGTAAAAGTTGTATGTTATAAAGATAATAAGCATATGCTAAAATTAATTATTAGCGACACTATTCTGTTTTTATTATTTGCAACACTATTCCTATTTTTGTTTTTATCACTATTCGTTAAATTTATTTGCATCACTATTTCTTTTTTTTATTTTCAGCACTATTCATTAAAGGGACCACCAAGTCCCGAGACATGTTGTGTTCATATCAAAAAGAATATTAAAAAAAAAAACGTCTGAGCAAATTTTTTTGATTAAAACTAATTAAAAAATTTATACCTAGAAAAACAAATCTTGTTGTTTTAGTCGAAGCTTGTCTTCTCCATTTTCTGCAGTATTTAGAATTTTTAAAATAAACGCGATTTTCCAGGTGCATTATACAGACTTGATAATATATTCAAGTGCGTTTAATTCATAGAAGTTTTAGTAGATGGCGTCATAGATTTTTGTTTTATTTTGTTTGTTTAAAACACTGATTATTATTTTTTACATACAATTTCCAATTCATATTCAGATTTATTATATTTTAAAGTTCTAAAATATGTTTGTAAAAAAATTAAAAACAAAATTGTATTTTATTTGCCCAACTTTTTTTAAATAATCGTCTAGACTACACGTATTTTGATTTCTTTTGTTATAAGTTTTTCTTTCAAAATATTACATAATATAATTTTTAACCTAAAATAACAATGCACTTTTATTAATTTATATTGTGGTGGGGGCTTAATTAAAAAATTAATATATATTAATTTTTGTTTTATGGACATACATGGAAACATAGTTAACTTGAATCTTCTTAAAACATCTTGCGGAAGAATAAAAAGAATATTTGCTGACTAAGCAAAATAAAGTTCTAGAGTATTCTGTTGAAATGTTTTAGCAATTATTCACGATTTGTTGCGTTTTGAGATATCTAGCATAAATTGTTTTAAGAATCAAATGAACTATTACTTTAATACTAGCAGAGACCCGTAATACTGGTTGTGGTCGGTCTGTTACATAGTTAATTTATAGTGGCTGTTTTCCACAATTTAATGTTGCAAAACCTTAACTAATACCCTTTTAGAAAAACGCCTTCAAATTGAAAAAAATAAATAAAAAGTATGAGGTAAAATAATTTACCAATTATTATTTAACATTGTTTAAGTAATTTACAACTGACATCAGTCATATTAGCGTAAGGCAGAACCATTTTTTTTTTTTAATTTTATTTATCTTCGCTTCCAAGCAACCACTAATTATTGTTGGAAGTTACTGGAAGAGAAAAGATGAAGATTGTAGAGCAAGATAACGATTGACAGACGACTTAAAAGATTGCAAATTATATGAATCAGGAAAGCAAGATGAAGGAAGAAAATTCCAAACAACTAATGTTCGAGGAAAAAAACTAGACAAATAAGAGTTCATGGAGCACTTAGGAACAGTAACAGAAAAAGGATGAGACTTAATTAAATGACGAGTAACACGAGAATGAATTTTAGTAGATGGCACATGAGACGCTAGCTCTTTAGAGTAGTGCCCATTATAGTATTTGTAGAAAAGAGAAAGAGAAGCAACATTATGACGATGTGACAGAGGTTGAAGGTTGGCTGTAAGAGCAGGTCCAACTATGTTTACAATGCATTTTTGCACCTTGTCTAAAAGAGAAAGGGCATCATTAGAAGACCCGCCCCAGATATGGCAACAGTATTCCATACAAGGCAGGATCTGAGATTTATAGAGATAGAGAATAGAATCCAGAGTAAGAAAGTGACGAGCTCGATAAAGAGAAGCAACTTTAGCAGATGCTAATTTTGCAACATATTTGATATAAGGTTTCCAAGAAAGATTAGAAGTAAGAGTTAATCCTAGAATATGAAGGGTAGGAGACTCATCGAGTACATTACTGTTCATAAATATAGGAAGGTCTAAACTATTGCGATAACGATTGGCCAAAAATTTTTTATCTGAATTAAAGTTCACCAGCCACTGTGAGCCCCATGCTGTAGCAGAAGTGAGATCCTTTTCAAGTTCAGATGCCCCCTGCAAGCAATCAGAGGGAGTTGGCTTCTTATCGTGACAAGAATAAATGGTAGTATCATCAGCGAACAATGCCACCTTAGATGTGAGAATATCTGGAAGAACGATAATGTAAATTAAAAAGAGTATAGGGCCAAGGATTGAACCTTGAGGAACCCCTGAGGTTACAGAATAAGAAGAAGAGTGCTGTCCATCAAGGACAACTTTTATACTACAATTGGAAAAGAAGGATTCAATAATCTTAAAGATGTTTCCAGATACACCGTAAGAAGAAAGCTTATGGAGGAGACCAGCATGCCAAACTTTATCAAACGCTTTAGAAATGTCAAGAGCAATGACCTTAACCTTTCCATCTTTATCTAATGCGCGATAAAACCTATTGGTTATTACTGATAGCAAAAATCCATATTGATGATCAGAAAGTAGGTTATAAGATTCGAGATGAGAGATTAAGTGTTTGTTAATTAAAGATTCAAAAACCTTGCTTATGATAGGAAGAAGACTAATGGGACGGTAGTTAGATGAATCAGATCGCTCTCCAGAATTTTTAAAAATAGGGATAACAGATGCTGCTTTCCAGCAGGCTGGAAAACAATACTCTGATAAGCACTTGTTAAATAGTTTTGTAAGGATAGACGACAGCTCCGGAGAACACTTCTGCAAGACTATAACAGGTATGTTGTCCGGGCCGCAAGCTGTAGAAAAGTCTAAGCGGGAAATCACTTTAGATACAGAAGCTGGAGTGATACGAATGTCAAGCAATGGATCAACCTGTTTGATGGCTATATCAGGTAGAACGCAACTAGTGGCATCAAGAGATGATTTTGATGAAAAGTTCTTGGCAAACAATTCAGCTTTGTCTTTAGGTGAGGTGACAAAGTCTGAACCATACAAAAGAGGTGGAATTACAGACTTGCCCTTATTATTGATACTATTAAAGATTCTCCAAAAATCAGGAGAGCCTAATTTTTGTGATGAAATACATTTTTCATGATCAGAGAATAGCGGGCTTTGGCATTAGACAAAACCTTTTTACAATGGTTCCTAGCAGTAATAAACAGACGCCTGTTTTCTGGAGAATTGTTTTGCTGATAGATATGGAAGTAATGGTTTCGATTGGCAATTGCAGCAGCACAATGTGAGGAAAACCATGGGGAAGAGTGAGGCTTTACCTGGAATCGTCAAGAGGGAATAAAGGATTCCATTCCAGCCTGAATCCACGAAGTTATGTAAGAAGCATATTTGTCAACAGGGAGACAAAAGATTTCTACCCATTTTCATGGACGAAAGATTTCTACCCATTTTCATGGACATTTTCTAATCCAACACAAGTTTTTAGTTATAGACACAAAATAATACTTCATCATTCTTTAAATAGACAAAAATATCAACAAAATCCTTGCAATATTTCTTAAACATAAACTTTAAATAATTATTAAGATTAACTTATATTAAACAGGAGTTATTAATTTTTCTTTAGAAAAGAAAATTGTTATTTTAAAAATGTTAAATGCACACAACTAAATAAATTTATTAAAAATAACTAAGTTTGTTATAACTAAGCAATTGAGTGCATATACGTTTCAAACAAAAAAAAATTGCAATCAAACATGTGTATAACATTATAAAATTTACAATCAAACATATGTATAACAAATTTAAAAAAGTCAACTTTGATCTTTTATATTGCATTAATGCGTTATATGACAGACCTAAAATAAAAATTGCAACAGATAAGTAGACATAAAAGGAAAAAAAAGAAAAAAAAACAATTTTTCTGCTTTTGATGACCTGTTGTCATACTTTTTCTGTCATGATACAGCAGTTCTTGTCAGTGTTGTTTAATGACGTTATTTCATGTTGGCTTTTAGTAAACTTTTGTTTAATTTAAAAGACATCACAATAGATTTAAAATATTTAAATTAAAAAGCAAAATACAAAATGCTTCAGGGAGCCAAACTATAAACATCAAAGATAAAAAATAAAATTGAGATATAAATAAATTGATTTATATTGCTAAATATATTGTCTTGGTTTATAAAAAATTTTAAAAGCAGTGAGTTAAATAAATTTAACTATCAATTAATTATATTTTTTTATTTATGATTTTTATTATTATTTTTTTAATTAATGA